GCATTCCTTATTGCTATGGTGGCGCTGTCAATGTCAAAATTTTCCATAACAGATGAATGAGCGATTTTAAAGGCTTCTTGGCGACTATGAGCTCTAGATTTTCAGAGTAGCATGTGAAAGGACCCTGAACCTGAGTGCACTATTGGAGATTGAGGTAGTAAGTGGTAGTAAGAATTTGAAATTGTTACTACTGAGGTGGTAAGAATTTGAAAGATGCAAGTAACAGTACATTTCACTACATATTCCAACAAGCTGCTGCTCTTCATGTTGCGTTTCATTCACTTGACATTAAGATACTACCCAGTTCAATCCAATATACCTTTTCAGCAGAATCGGTCCTGATCTCGTTGCGAAGTACATCTGGTCTTTTGATTCATGTTATCAGTGGAAACAGTTTTTTGATGCGCCTCGGCAACGACTCGTTAAGGATTCCAAAGTATGTTTTGCTGATTGCAAACGTCTTGTCTGACTCAATAGATAAAATCACGCCGGTCAACTGATAAGATCAATCAATTTTTTGACTATTTCAGAAAACACTTGAAATGAACTTTTCAGCACAAAATTATTGTCGAATAGCTGCAATGTGACTGACCATTATTACCACACAAATTTGATTGTTCTCTTCACTGTGTTCATCTGTGATCTAATCGAATATCGATTGAGTATTTAGTTCAATGATCTTCAACCGATAACATCGTTTGCAGTTCGATTCAACCTTTCAGAAGAATCCGTTCCCGTCATTGATTGCTGCAGAGAAACTACCGTTAGATGCCTACGAAGTAGCGTATTCGGTCAATAAGCAAAAACGTTGGAATATCATGAAAATTGCAAGGAAATCGATCACTTCCTTCCAAGTAATCCTTTCAATCACACCTTTCATTTCTCTTGTCGTGATAGCTCCTTCCTCGTGTGTCGTCGTTTTCCACTTAAAGCAGTAGTCCTTTCAGTCCTTCCATCCAAATAAAACGGCCAATAGTTCGCTGCAAACTGATATGATCAACTAGGAATTATTATCAGATGTTCTTGGTGAATCTTATTTTTAGAATGCCGAACTTGGATTGCGCGTCTCAGTTTGCAACTGCATCACGCAGTCCAAAGTGAAATATGCTTCCGACGCCCCGGAAAACAGGTCGAGCACTCTTGGTTATGGTGCTATGATCACTGAATTTCATGGTATTAACGGAAATTATCATAATGAATATCATTTAAACAATATCAACAAAACCATTTTCGATATCTACGGAACTCGTCAAAGGTATCCCATCAAGAAAAAGCCACGTCTCTACCGTCGCACATTCCCGAAATTCAAAACATTGGCAATAGGAAAAAATGGAGAAAGTTTGAATAAGGGAATGCACCCAATACACGTTATGTTCTTGCATCATTCGTTTGACCGAAGCGTTCGTTCATTGAATATGCGACGAAAGTTGCCAAGTATACCTGCATATGAATATGCATGCGCATACGTTTCGAGGCGGAAACATAAGAAAGCAATCAAGAAAACACGCAAGCATACGGCATCTGGTCGGTACCATCGAAAATGTCAATGTTATCACAAATGCGGATTGACGAAAGAAACGGATCAAGTCAAAATAATAACAAAGAATGCACGCAAACGACTATTGTTGTGGGAGTTGGAGGACGAAGTATATGAGTGGGAGCGAGAAATCAGAGTCGGTTCTGATATTGAAATTGAAAATGAATTCGATGGATTCAATGATGTCGAGAATGATGGTCAAATATGCTCGTATGCTGAAGCAAGCCAACACAAACCTTACCAACCAACATTGAATGACTTCATTGGTATTTGGGGAGATAAACGAAAGCACAAAAATTGTTCACGAAAAAAGGTAAGAGAATTTCTTAGAAATCTGAAACTTGAGTTGTTTTTTTTCCGAAAAAAATGCAACGAATACTTCGTTCATGTATGTGTGAATCGATTGAAAGTGTTAAAAGTAATGAGAAAAATTTCCTTTGGTGTTACGACCTTGAATTCCAGACTGCGCATGTCCTCAACTCTTTACAATTGTGTGTAATTCTCTTATCACTGTTGGGTTGAACACAGTCTTAAAATGATCTCGACCAAACGTGCTCAGTTGAAAAGCATGCACTTACACATATAGGTAATAGTGTATATGCTTTGTCTTAGGTGAGAACTGTGAATCGCTCATCAGAATACGACATTTGGTTACACTCGTCACCGTCGACTGGAACTGTCACTGTTGAGGAATACAAAGAGGAATATGATATTAACAACAATCGCAAAGAGACCATCAAGCACATACCTCCACCCAGTATCGTGATTAATCTGCATGATGATTGTCCAGCAACAAATATCGAAACAATTGCCTCAAGACTTATGCCATATGCAGTTGAACTTTTTGGTGTCATACCTCGAACATTCCTTTCATCAATTCCGGATACATCCGACGAATTNAGGTTCATAATAAACACAAGTGATAAAAGCTCAGAATCAGAAGAGTGTTCAGTGTCATACTCACTGAGACTGTCGACGTCGTTAACTCGGTTCATTCCATCTGATCACTTCGTATCATCAAATGTCTATGAACCTCACGCTGCTGAATGTATCGCTTGTGAACAATACTCGTTTAACAGGCCATCCAAGGTTACCGATTACTAGCATCCCTTCAGTGTTTTTAACCACTTCAGTACAGTGAAAACACATTTCGCAATTATTTGAACGATTCATGTTCTATAATTTGAACTCGTCAGTTTTTTGCCTGTTTCAACGATTCGTCGCACGTTCATATTCTCAACAATCTACGAATGCACGAATGAATGCATCTCACAAAATGGTTTACATACAGTAACATTTTGTAGTGCAATGAAGTGGCCTCCACTTCTGGTGTCATACCGTCGGACTCGTCTTATTGTGCTGTATGTGATTCATGCAGCGATGATGGCTTTTCTCTGCAATGTTCACATCGATTCTGTCGAGAATGTTGGACCTCATATGCTTCGTCAATGATCACTTCTGGTATTGTGCCCATCAAATGCCCGGTAAATCTTTACGGAAGTGTATGACTGATTAACTCATGATAACGGTGAACTTCCATGTTGTTCAAATCACCCAATCTGCTGGATTGCTATCCATGAAAACTGTTCCACTCATAGTTGTAGAGAAGAAGTTCAATTCGTGTAACTGGAACAACGCTATG